CTCAGTCTCCACCTCTACCTCCGTTCTTCAGTCTCTGAGCTAAAGGGCCAATAAAAACCCCTTTTTATTGATTATTTCTTTATCATTTATTTCTTTTTCCATATCTCTTCTAGAAGTCATTTGTGTTCTTGCTATGTGTAATTATCTGCAGTATTTATTAAGGAGTTATCGTAGGTTTTTGGAACCAATTCTAGGAATTACAGAGTATTCTGATGGAAGATTTGAACCAACACACCAATATTTAACACAGAAGTCGCTCCTGGAACCAGTTAGACTGTTATAGAGGTTCTGCTGTACTAGGGGTGGGACGGTTCACAAAAGTTCGGTTCGGTTCGGTTCACGGTTTCGTGGTCACGGTTTTGGGTTCGGTTCGGTATATGTTGATTGTTAGGAAAATCTATTATGTCTTGTATAGTCAGGTTAAAACTGAAAGAAAAAAGCAGTCTGACATTTGATCCATTATTGTGACAGTCTGAGGTTAAAAGTAGGTGAGATTCTGGCAGAGAGGAAACAGAGCTAATTCCAACATGAGCTTCCCTCTAAATGCAAACTGGTCCCATACAGCAGAGCTATAAACTGCTGCTGGGTCTGATTTTTATCGGCTACGCTGCTTCTTCTTCTTCTTGTTTCCTACTGGAGGTTGGCTTTGGGCGCAGTAGCGCCCCCTTCTGCTCTGGAGTGTAAACGCTTCCCTCTGAGAAAAAGGAGCAGCAGGAACCGAACGCAACACACGCGAACCGAACCGAGACAGAACCCAACGGTTCAGACGGTTTTCAGAAACCGTCCCATCCCTATGCTGTATTATACAAATCTCCAAATCTGGATATGTTTACATCTTTACCCTGGGTGAGGAGAGACAGGTTCTCCAGCAGCATGCCCGGCAGACAGGGGGCAGCAGAGAGCCAGTCTCTGAGCTAAATAAAAACCTTTTCTATTGACTATTTCTTTATCATTTATTTCTTTTTCCATCTCTCTTCTAGAAGTCTTTTTTTTTTGCTATGTGTAATTATCTTCAGTATTTATTAAGGAGTTATCGTAGGTTTTTGTAACCAATTCTCGGAATTACAGTGTATTCTGATGGAAGATTTGAACCAACATACCAACATCTGCTCGAGGTTTCTGCCTGTTAAAAGGAAGTTTTTCCTTGCCTGTGTCGCCTAGTGTTTGCTCATGGTGGGAATTGTTGGGTTTCTGTATTTAACCTCAGAGTAGGGTCTGACCTGCTCTGTTTGGAAAGCTGTGAGACAACTGTTGTTGTGATGTAGCGCTATATAAATAACATTGAATTGAATTGAATTGAATATTTAACATAGAAAATCGGTCCTGGAACCAGTTAAACTCTGTTATAGAGGTTCTGCTGTATTATACACATCTCCAGATCTGGATATGTTTACATCTTTACCCTGGGTGAGGAGAGACAGGTTCTCCAGCAGCATGCCCGGCAGACAGGGGGCAGCAGAGAGCCCCGAGGCCACCGGCAGCCCGAGGAAAGAGAGGAAGTTCAGAAGAAGTCTGAGCTGGAGTTTCGGTGAGGAGAAACAGATCAGGGACGGGCCGATGTCATCAAACAGAACCTGGAGACAGACGGAGGAAAAAAGGGAGTCAGGAAAAGGGAGTCAGGAAAAGGGAGGCAGGAAAAGGGAGTCAGGAAAAGGGAGTCAGGAAAAAGGAGTCAGGAAAAAGGAGTCAGGAAAAGGGAGTCAGGAAAGGGAGTCAGGAAAAGGGAGGCAGGAAAAGGGAGTCAGGAAAGATGGAGTCAGGAAAAGGGAGGCAGGAAAAGGGAGTCAGGAAAAGGGAGTCAGGAAAAG